GAATTATTCCTTTCCCTGTGGATACGAACTCTACTACGCTATACTACGTATAAGTGTTTAGTATTGAATTTATTTTGACGCACCGTGACAAAGTGCTCGTCAAATTTGGCGCCGTTGCCGGGGAAAGGCAATTATTTTTCTTTTTATTTTATCTCATAAAAATCAAAAACAAAAAAAATAAATAAAAATCTTACTTTTCTATTTTCTGAGCTTTCATTAGTATATGGATACCAACACATCATCCCTAGAGAGTCAAATTTCCGACTTGACTTCTCTAATAAAGGAGTTTATTTCATGCTCAAAATCTTAAGATGTCCATACATGCAACATTTGCATGTCACACAGGCATCTTAAGATGTCCATTCATTCTCCAACACATATAATCCATACTCAAGTTCTTATTCCAGCATGTCCACTGAAGACATGATCCGAGCTCTCACTATCAATGTGACAAATATGCAACAAAATATGTCACAATGCCCGCAAGAAGTAGTGTCCAACGAACAGAACTTGGACTATCAGATAAAACAAATGCCAAGCGTTTTGAACTACATCCGCGAGGAGGAGGAAGAAGAGGAGCCTGCAGAAAAAGCTCAACCGAAGGAGGAGGAACATCAAAACTCAACTCCACCACCGATCATTCCTGAGATCATGCCACCATTTCCTGAGGTTCTAAGGGAAACAAAAAGGGTAGAGAAGGACAAAGACGAAATCCTCAGCGAATGTGAGGGTAATTCAAAGGAAATGACAATGGAGTTAAGTAAACATTTGATACCCACTCTCATACCACCCGGATCAAAATCCCTTCCATTGACCATGCTTAATGAAAATCATGGACCCTCACTCTCACCACATGATTCAATGGAAATCTGGATATTTGATCCTGGAAAGGTTTTCAAAGTGACGGGTTGGAAAATTGAGCATTTCTACGAAAGTGTAACAAAGAAGAAGATGGATTATCACGATCCAAGCTTAAACGACTGAACAAAATGAGGGCGTCGTGCCGCGACGGTAAACGAGGCGCTTCTTGGGAGGCAACCCATGCAAGGTATCTTTTCTTATCTCAATTTATTTTAGTAGAGTGTGTGTGAGAATGTATTTTTTTTTTCAAAACAAAAAAAAAAGTTTTTGAAGTAAAATTGGGAACAAACCCGGCCGGGTATATAACACACCCGGTCGGGTAACAGAACAATGAATGAATACCCGGGCAACACCCCAGGAGGGTGATTTTTGATAAAACCAAAAAAGAGCTAAAACCCGACCGGGTATACCAAAAACCCGGCCGGGTTTTCACCGATTTATGCCCTCTGGAATTAATACCCATTCGGGTTTTCACTTAAAACCGCCCGGGTGACCAAAAATGGCCCACTTGGAGCTGTTGATTCCGTGGTACGGCTCAACAAAGTAGCCGCACCCTCCTACCTATTTAAAGTTTGAGAATAGGTCGAAGGCGCGAAAAAAAAATGAAAAAAAAATAAAAACGTAGAAAACCCGACCGGGTATTACAAAAACCCGACCGGGTTTTTGGCCAAAACAGCCTAAAAACGTTCTACCAAGCGAAAAACAACATACCCATTCGGGTATTACTAAAACCCGGCCGGGTAATCGAGATTTCAGTCCGTTTTGGTCCTAAATCAGCCCACAAAACACCCATTTTCTTCCCTAATGTCCCAAACTCAAACCCTCAACCTCCATTGACAATCATCCAAGTTTCAAACCACTCCAATCTCAACCAAAACATCCAAATTAACTCCACATTCTTCTTATCCACATCATCCTCTCCGATCCCAAAACCTCCAAAAAAATGCCATTTCTTTTTCTCCTCACCCTACATTCCAAACCCACACACACAAAACCCACAAAATCCCCCAAATACCCTACAAACCGAATTCCCTAACCCCCCAAGCTCAAGTTTGGAATTCACAAAAAAATAAAAACGAGAAAAAAAAAGCACCAAAAAGAACACATAACTTCGACCACCAAGGGTACTTCTCCAACATGCCCAACCTAGTACAACACCCGACATGGTATTATCCCTCATGTTAGGGAAATTTAGAGGTTCTAGCTCCGGTGAACATGGTCTTGGTGGCGATGGTGGTTATGGAGGGTACATCGACAATCATGGTTCCAAACACTAGGGACAGTGTTTCGAAAAAAGTGTAGGGGAGGCACTCATTTGGTATGTACTCATTTTTTTAACCTTGTAACTTGCATTATTTTTCATCAACAAAAAAAAGAGCAAAAAAAAACAATAAAAGAAAAAAAAAGAATGCTAGTTAGGTTGAAAACCCAGAAAAAAATGGGCAATCTAAGCAAAAGTGGCTAAAATGAGTGAGTTGTGAGAAATGAAAAAATAAAAAGAGAGGCTAGGATGAAAACCTGAAAAGGCTCCTAGGCAAAATGAGAGAATGAGAGAAAAATATCTATTTATGCAGAAGATAATCAAAAAAAAAGAAGAAAATGTTGGATGGTTGTTCTGCTACTTTTGTGGTTTTGAAAACTTCATGGGCAGGTTTTAATTTACTCGAGACGAGTAAAGGTTCAAGTGTGGGGGTGTTTGATGGGCACTAGTTGTTAGTGCCTAAGTATACATTTTTATTATTGTTTGTAATGTTTATTTACTAGTTTTGTGTAAGTTTATAGTTGCTAGTTTGCATTTGATTGTAATCGTATTTTTAGCATTTTATTGTTTGTTGTAAGTTGTAGTTAGTTGAGCTATAAGTTTAGGATAGGTTTGGAAGCAAGAAGCATGGAAAAACCTGAGTTTTATTCAAAACCCGGTCGGGTATGGACTTTACCCGGCCGGGTATGAAGTGACAAAGGAAATTTCTACGAAATTAGCAAATACCCGGTCGGGTATTCCCTGTACCCGGTCGGGTATGAAGTGATTTCGGGCAAACGAATGTGCAAAAGAACACAAGAACATGGGAAAAAGATTTGATTTGACAAATACCCGGTCGGGTATGTCAAATACCCGGCCGGGTATCCGGCTATAGGTCTTCAAAACACCTATAAATAACCCCATTTTCCTTCACATTTCATCACTCCTTCTTCCATACTCTTAAGCTCAGTTTAGAATAGCATTTCTTTATATTTTTCTAGCTATGTTTAGTCTCCAAATGAGGAGCTAAACTTTCATTCTTGGTGTTGCTCTTGAAGCTTGTTGATTATTAAAGTTGTGAGTTATTTTCTTAACTTCTTTCCTTGAATATTAATTAATAGTTTTTTCCTTAATACCAACTCTATATTAATGTTGGAGAGTGTTGCTAAGATGACAATTAGTTAACATCTCGACATTAGTTAGAATGGTATTTTCTTCCACTATATTAATATTGGGGAGTGTTGCTAAGATGACAATTAGTTAACATCTTGATATTAATTATAGTAGGATTCATCTTCTTTAATAATATTCTTCCTTGAATATTAATTAATTCCTACTCATATTTCATATTAATATTTTGAACATTACTTAAAGGATCAACTAGTTTTGTTTCATATATTAATTATTACTAGAAACGATCAACGAACCGATGGTTAATCGTTGATGGTTTCACAAGTAAGTAACTTCGGTTTATTAATGCACGGTCGTGGTTAATAAACTTAAGAGGGATTAATTTCATTGGTTAAACCGAAACCATTGTGCTGAGGTTATCAATCTCAATTGATTTCATCAAGAAGTTAGAAAGATTAAATGCTACTATTAAATCGGTATAAGGCGTTGTTCTATATTTGATTAATAGTAAGGGTTATTAATGAACGGTTGTTGTTAATAACTACCCTCGATGAAGTGGATATACTCCCCGATTGAGTATTCGAGAGGGAATAAGTTATAGATATAACAATGATCGACTAAAATATATCAACAAGTGGAAAATAGCAATGCCAAGTCCTTTTTATCTTTGAATTAAACACATATAGGTTGTTCATCTTAGTTTTTAATTAAATTAAATCACTCAATCCAAATCCCCCCTTTTTATTTACTAAGTATCATAAAAAGAGAATTATTCCTTTCCCTGTGGATACGAACTCTATTACGCTATACTACATATAAGTGTTTAGTATTGAATTTATTTTGACGCACCGTGACAAAATGCTCGTCAATATCTTACCATTTTTAAATATGTTTTTAATAAACAAATATATACACTATAAAATTTGCAGAAGAGCTCAACCTGCCAACAGTCAACGGGCCATGTATGTTGTTGGCTCCCCAATACCAATTTTCCTCTGCTTCATATGGCCAATTAATTATATCAGTGCATTAGAAAAGCTCATTAATGGATATAAAGTAAAAGTAAGCAGCTAAAAATGTTCTAGGTAAAAATGTTCGAGATAAGAAGTTAGATTTTTTATACTATTGATAGCAAATGGGATGCAGGAAAGTAAGATAGTTTTACTTTAAAGCATGGTGTATGGCCAGACAACCCAATATATGCAATACTTTAACCACGACTAATCTGAAGCCTTTACGCTTTCAAATGCTAAATATAAGAAAAGATACTGAAAGTGCAAATAAAGGTGTCATGTAAAGCTTTGGTTATTACGGATACTAAATAATTGCAGTAGCTCCTAAATGTCAAAAACAATTCCTAGAAATGGTAGATTCACTAGTGGAAAATATGGATTTAATAACGGTTATAATGGACTTTTAATAACGGTTCAGAACCGTTATTGTTGCAACACCTATTAAAAGTCTGGTACTTTTAATATGGGTTCGGGAACCGTTATGAAAGTTTTTTAATAACGGTTCGATTGGGCTTTTAATAACGGTTATAGGCCGATATTGTTGCTGCACATGTTAAAAGTCCGACACATTTAATAAAGGTTAATACAGAACCGTTATTGAAACATTCAATAGCGGTTATAAATTAACCGTTATTAAAGATTTTCAATATGAGATTGATCAACCCATATGAAATGTCTTCCTAACATTTAATTCACACCTAGCTATTTCTAAATATCAAAAATTTACACATATCATCATAGTAACATTTATTGCAACAAAGTAAACACATATCATTTCTCATAACTAATAAAATTCCACATTCACATTGTTTTGATCCAAAAATATTCAGCAAAAACTAGGTATGAGTTCACAACATTCATCAAAAACTAACTCTGAATTCACTAAAACTATGAGTTCACAAGACTCATAAAAAACTAGCTAAGAGTCTAAAAATTATATCAAATATCCGTAGCTTCGCAGAAAAATGACGCTCAACGCTCTCGTGTCTCGTTGATTTCTTGATCGGTGAATGACTCTTGAACGTTGAACGCCTACAAATTAAATAACGAAACTAAATGAATAAATACAAAAATCATGAAGTAAAAGAAATAACATTTACAGTAACAATAAAATCACAAGTATATGGGAACAAATAAGCTAAAACTTCACCTTCATCCAAGAATCAACAATATCAGTAGAAACAACAGTAGCCATATGTCTCATAACATAGTAGCCATATGCAATTCACCTCAAATATGCTGATTGTTTTTGAACTTATAAATGAAATACCTTTCTCATGGCCACCATGTGGTGGGGATGTAAAAGCGAGCGAGTATTTTTAAAAGAGTAATAGGTGCTACCATGCTACATCTGAATCTCTTTATAGATAAAAAATTCCAGTGTAAAAGCAGTTACATGCCAATGAAAACTATTTTCCATGCACTAGTAAAACGACTATATAGGGAAAATCTCATAAAGGTAAAAAAGAATCTCTATAGAGAGTTTCTTTTAAACAATTACCTTTTATGTCCCATAGGATGCTACATTGGGCACAATGAACCATGTCATATGCCAATGCAGGAAACGGAAGCTGTTTTGAGATAAAGTTTCCGATAATTGCTGGAAGACCTCTCTCAAGTGCTAATTGGACCTGGCTACCTGAAGACTCATATGCTGCTACACACAGGGACATCAAATTCAAGGAGAGTAAGTGAGCCCCAAAGCTACCAAACCCAAAACCAACATCTAACACAGTCTGCACCTGTTATCAATAACATGATATATCTAAGCCCAAGTGTAATTGTTCAAAGTAAAGCCTTTTTAGTGGCAAAATCACAAATCAAAGACACTAGCACTTCACTACTTACGGAGTAAAAGTTGTAAGGAAAGAAGATAAAAGAAAACTGTATAGGACCACAGCGAGAAGCCGAGAAATTCTACCACTAAAACCAGACAAATGTGTTTTGACAGATAGTTAAGATAAACTTACACCAGCTTGAGGAAGTTCATGGTCACTTCCCAACCCAATCATTTTTGCAATTTGGTAAGAGTAATCTTTTACGCCATCATATGCCACTCCATCCTCTGAGTGAAAAGCAATCTGATTCTCCTCTAATAACATTAATATGAGAAAATCATGACTAACTATGAGAACAATATTTTAACACACAGCTGGCACCTTGATGAACCGTCAAGGTTTTCTACAAAAAGCATGTCAATTAATACAGAAGACTTAGCCCAACATGTCAAATCTTGTGTAAGCAATGCATTTATTTCATTAAAATTACCTTTTTGTCATGCTTCCAGATGACAGGAAATGGTCTTTTGTTAATTTCACATTTCCACTCTAGATGTCATCCCTGCCTGCTGGCCAATTTAGAGGAATCTTAGAGTCTTTGGGAGGATGAACTAAACAATGATGCAAATCCCGTGAAATCTCACAATGCCGATCAAATTCCTCCCCATCATTGAATCAAGTAAATTTGTAGTCACGTTGTAGCAAGGCACATAATTCTATTTATCTTTGCTACAAAGACCAACATCCTTTATATGGTAAGATCCGAGGGAAATGCTCCTTAGCTCTAAGTAATCACTAGCTGCTTGATCCTTTAACCTTCTATAATTTGTATAAAGCTTAGGTTTGGCAGATGAAGACACAGAATCAAAAGTACTAGAAGAAGATGACCCCAACAAAGCTATCAGCACAAAGATGCTGACAAGAAGCAAGAGTAACCAATTAAGAGGTGGACTATGGCCGAAAACGGAGGATAGTTTTTTTAACCAAGGGCTTCTCATGTCCGAATTCTGCCAGCCCCCCGATTATAGAGCGAATAAAGCCACAAAAATATTACTTATTGATTCAACCTGAACACCCAGTGATCACGACTACAACAACCTATCATCAGGAATCATCAGAACCACACTCCTAATATGAAATGTAACAGAAATTACATGTGGTTACCTTCGCGATATTCAATGCTTAATCCCCAGTCTTCACAACTTTCCATACACTCCTAATTCAACTAAAAACAATCACTTAATTTTTTAGAAAACTCTTCAAAACCACTACTAGAGGTCGTTAAGAAAATACCATTCAAACTATTTCCTCCCATGCGTCGCAGTCACCAATGGCGTTGCAATAATCAGCACCAAATTTAATTGTACACTGCCTTGTAATACCCGCTCCGTAATGCCTTTGTGATCTATCCATTTTACTTAGTTAACTGGATCGAGTAAAGTAGCATTAGTATTGAAAACTAAATAATACTTACAAGGTTAAAAGGGAAAAATAATCTAGAAGTTATATCAAACTATAAAACTGAACAGAGCACCATGAAACTCGGGATAACTACAAGTATATATTAATCTTCCAGTAATACAAACCTGTTGGTTCCCTTTTAACATGACTACTTATGAAGATGACAAAAATTGGAAGGAATCAGATATCAAAGAGCTACTCTAAGAGTAAAAACTTTACATACTCTGGGTGAGAAAATTATTGAGGTGAAATGGAGTGAATAAGGTTCCCATTCATCCAACTAAAAAAGAAACTTTGATATTTTTAACAAATTCAAAATTGACATTCTGGTATAATAATTTGCGTAGTTAAGTGTAAGAAAAATATAATGATTTGTGTGCTCTATACTCCCGGTTCGCTTCGGTTCTAGAACCAGCCCAACCATTGTTCACTAAGAGTGTTTTTATTCTTACATATGGCCAGTGTAGTGAAAAAACGTGCTTGAGAGATGACAACACTTGTGGAGTTTTTTTTTTGCATTTCTCTTCTCAAGTGAACCGGAAACAGTCTCTCTGTACTTTTAGTACAGGGGTAAGACTGCGTACATCCGACCCCCCCTTACCCCACCGTAGGTGGGAGCCTTTGCGGCACTGGGGTAAATGAAAATGAAAACGATCTCTTCTCAAGTGAACATTTACCTTTGTTTTGCTTCTGTTTTGTTTCTTTCCGGTTCAGGTAAATTGAAAATGTAAGAAGAGGAATGTGTTCTAAAGAAGCTCTACTTTTGCTTCATTTACCCAGTGCAAGGGTATTTTAATTCCTAGTTTATTCTTCTCTGTTTTGGAAATATACCCATACCCAGTTCTGTACTTATCTCAGGATTTGAGCAAGTTAACACTTCAACCTTAAAACATGACAGCTACGGGGTACTTAATATTCAAAGTACTTGATATGGATTCATAGAACAAAACTTTAAAAAGTTTGTGCCATGAAAAGACCTTAAATCCTAAGAGCAAAAAAAGCATTACTCTGTCAAACCCGAACTCCTATTCTTTGGGCAACCTGCAAAAACATACCTGTTGTTACATCAATTTCAAAAAGGCAAAATTTGCTAACTTTTAACGTGATAAAGAAAATAAAACTATAAAACCCCAACAATAACAAGAAGAGGGTAATACCGACTCAATACTTTGACACTTGATAGAACCATTAATCAAAATGCGACTACAAAATTAATGAGTATGTTTGGATTCTCAAAAGCACCAGGTCAAGTTATGACATTAAAATAGAATATTCTACAAGACCTCGACAAGAAATTTAATTAGAGACTAATAAATAATACTTCAAGACCTCATACACACTTTACACTCATTGTGAATGAAGTTCACTCCTTGTGATTAAAGAGCACCACTTAAACTTGAAAAACTCATTTAGACATTCCTACAAACACATTATTGTCACTGCAAATTGAAAGCCTTACTAGCAAAACTTTTAGCATCTATTTCCCATCACTTACAAAGCAAACAAACTCCAGAGACGAGACTTTACCTAAACCAAACCCTAAGTAAAAAAATACTCAAATGTCAAATGTGTAGCATGAAAAACATTTTTACCTTAATCGGCCAGATTAGAGGTGGGTGAGACTATGGGATGGATAGAGGCCGAAAGCGATGGAAGATCGGTGGCTCGTGACGTGGGAGGGCTGGTGTATCAGGGAGAACGACACTCAGCTATTTTCTCCTCATCATCCATCTATACGCCACCCTCGCTCTTTTCTGCTTTGCTAAGTAGTGCAATGTCAAGTAGAGGATCTGTGATGTCCGTAGTCGAGCTGCGATGTTGCGCAGAAGAAGGGCTGAGGAGCTGCGATGTTGTGCAGAAGAAGGGCTGAGGAGCTGCGATGTCTGTAGACGAGCGGCGGAGTGGTTTGAAAGAAGGGAGGAGGAGCTTCGATGTTCGTAGTCGAGCGGCGGTGTGGCATTGAAGAAGGGTTGAAGAGCTGCTCCTATTCATATTAGAGCATAACTGACCCCGTGCCAGATTAGTTTTCAAAAATTGCAAAAATTACCCCGTTTTGAGTTTCTATGTCAGTTAAAATGCTAATCGTTATTGATAGAAATTAATATTTCAAATTCTACCCCATTCTGTAATGCAAAACTTTTATTATTTATAAATTTTACCCCGCGTGTGGTTTCAATAAGGGTTAATTATGAACCCATATTAAAAGGTTGGTTATTAAATCTATATTTTGCACTAGTGATTCAAAAATAAAGACCTTTCTAGAAAAGCTCATTAATGGATAAGAAGTAAAAGTAAGCAGCTAAAAATGTTCTAGGTAAAAATGTTCAAGATTAGAAGTGAGAAATAATTCAGCTATGAAAATAATTTAATAAGCCCATCATGCTAACTTTAAATCTATAAAATATTCTAATTGAATCACACTCCTTAATCACATAAACTGCAAAAAGAGCTCAATCCATTTTGTTGGTACAAAAAAGATTGATATCAACAACACATTTAGGCATTCAGCTGTGACTTCGGAAAGGAAAGAATCAAAATACCAACACTGGGTCCTCCTATACAATAGTAGAACATAGTAATATAAGCAAATAATAGCATAAGATGCTTAAGTGATTGATTCACTTTCATTCAATACTTCAGAAGTTATACCCTTACCATTCTTTACCAATTTAATTGCTTTTCCATAAACTTAATTCTTGCTTCTCTAATCGGAAAATTCTTAAATTGATTCAATACTTTAACCACGAAATACCATACCCAAAATATGCAATTATAGAACTAAGTCACAAGTTGACAGATTGAGCTTCATTCAATAATTCAGAAGTGATACATTTACAATAATAACTGTGGATCCTCCTCAGTTATTAACCTATTTACATCAGAGTATAAGAATAGAAAATATGCAGTATCGATAGAGAGAGTATACATGGCGCCCTGGAAAACTGATCTCAATGGTTAGTTAGAAAAATGTAATGCTTTTTAAAATCAAATTAAAGATAGCCTAAAGTCACCCAAGAGCAGTTTTTAACAATCCTTAAGGACTCTTTAATTTGATGTAATGAATGAATTTATAACCTGGACATGATTTTAACATGCAATTTTTAATACCTACCTTCTTAAACCTAATGCAAAGGCCTTTTTCAAGTAATTTGGTTGAATTTGAATTGAAACCAAGTAAAAAAATGAGCATTACATTTGAAACACAGTGTAATCCTCTCAACAATCCTTAAGCACTCTTTAATTTGATGTAATGAATGAATTTATAACCTGGACATGATTTTAACATGCAATTTTTAATACCTAACTTCTTAAACCTAATGCAAAGGCATTTTTCAAGTAATTTGGTTGAATTTGAATTGAAACCAAGTAAAAAAAATGAGCATTACATTTGAAACACAGTGTAATCCTCTCAAGAAAAGAAATCATCAATAGGGTTGTCTTAGGGATCTTAAAATTATCTTTTAATAAACCTCATATTTGATGATACTGAATCGGAAATTAAGTATTTGAATCATAAATTGAAGAATTGAATAATTCAATAATTGGATAGGAATTGAAGTTATAAATCAAATCTAACCTGATAAACATTGGATACGGAATCCGTCGTCGATTCCACCAGCAAATGAACTCTTCATGGTACCGCAACTGTTGATGCGAACACTTTGATCGATTCCAGCAGCGCTGGGTCAGAGAAGAGCGGTCCTGCGCAATTGTTAGATACGGCGCTGCGAAATGGTAAGGGAGAATAGGGTGAAGAAGAAAGGGCTATGATCTGTGGGAGTAACCGTGCAATGATGGGAGCGGACGATTGAGGCGACGATTGAGGAGATTGAGGCGAATGAAGAAAAGGTGAGATGGGAGAGGGCGATTTGCTTTTTTGTATGAGAAGGGGACGTCTGAGGAAGAAGGGTGAGATGGGAGCGGACGATTGAGGCGAATGAAGAAAAGGTGAGATGAGAGCGGACGATCTAGGGTTAGAAGAAATGGTGAAAGCGGACGATTGAGATTATTTTGGATGTGAGCGGGAGTACTGTTCATTGAACAGTAAAAACAATGTTCATTGAACAGTAACCTATTGCTTTGCTTTTATGTATATATAGATTCATTCATCATGTGTGTGTGTGTAGTGAAAAACAGAGATGGTGTAAGAATATTACGGGTGTATTACAAAGGGCTCCAAAAGTCCCGAGGAAAAATGACTTATTACGATTTAAGGGTGTAAAGATTAAGGACAGTGTGGAAAGAGTAGAGAAGAAGCACAAAATAGAGAACTAAAGCAGCAAAGGCAGCAATGAGAGATCCTGCAACATGATCACAGAACTTGGAGACTTGGCCACAAATTGGCAGCCAACCAGCATTTATGTTCCCTTTCTTTTCCACTTCAGCCACAGCTAGGCATGCTGATATGCTTGAATCCATCAACAACATCAATATCTTTACCCCCCACAAAAAAAAAAGGTCATTAGCCATGTGGAAGACTTGACTTCAACTTTAAAATAAAGTCAGACTCGAAGAAATATGCATAAATATATGGTATCTTACATATTACTCCGTAGTATTGATGAAGTGTTGTTTCTTCACAGTCCTAAGGAAATTTTATACAATTACTTAAGAAAGAAATACATGCATTCAAGGGGGATTTACCATATCAGAGAAGAGAAGAACACTGCTGGCCATATTCTTGGATGGGAAAAACAGGACTATGAGACTATATCCACTTGCAATTGTATTCACACCAACAAAGTACCTGCCAAGAGCATATATATTTGGTTAAGTTCGTGAACCGGCCGCTAACTTTTCAATTAATTAGAACCAAAAAAATGTTACTTAAAAGTTGGTGAATGGGTAAAGTTGGCTTGAAATGTGAAGCCTAGGAGTTGAGTAGAGTCGTGGCTGGTGACCATCACAATGGTTGCAGCTAAAGTGCCTCCTAAGGCTAAAACCCTTAAAACAAAAACAACAATATGCGCCTTTGAGAGACCCATCATATCATATATTCATATACAATAGTATAGCTAATAGCTTTGCTAGCTAGGTACGTTATTATAAATCAAAAGATCAAAACTTAAAGACGAAGACAATATATAATGAGTTACTACGTACTAAGCAGGCCAGGCAAGGCTAATATCCTATCAGTGGCCGCATATGCTATGTATATTTTATCTGGGTAGTATTAATTAATAATAATGGTTTAAAATTCTCATCATGCAAGATTATATTGATTCACATATTATATTTATAAAGAAGGCCAGGGTTGCTAAGTTGCAGCTTAAATTGGAGTATATATGTCAAGATCATCGATCGACATCTCTTGAGGTAGGAAAAAAAGGCGCGCAGATGAGATGGTGGTAATCAAGCACGTTAGAATCATGTTTGGTTACCTAAAGTGTACACAAAATTTTAATTAATTAGCTATTACATAAAAGTCATGAAGTGTGACTATTTGTCAAAGTCGATCAAGGCTTAATCCTTTAAATTTAACCGGGAATAGAGGAAGTCTACACGTGAAAATTAAAGCGTTTTGATTTTTATTATATTAATTATTCCGTATGTGACATATGAAGAAAACCCCAAAATATTATACAGGTTTGAGCATATTTTTATAATTTTAATGAATTGAATATATGATTTTTAAACGTATAAAAATACCAAATATTAGAGCACATATATAACTAATTTAGAGGAGTGAATTTTTTAAACTAATTAATTTTTTCATATGTAAACAATATTTTTTTGAGAAAAACTCTTCTTTTCATGTTTAGACTTCACCCACGAAAAGTACTCATGCAACCGTTGTAACCGGGCCATTTAGTTCAAAATACTTGAGTGGTTTTTAAATGACTAAGCTCGAAATGAAAATCACAAAGATCCAAATGGAACTCTAAGAGCATCTCCAATGGAATAGTGGATTGGATTCCCACATCATCAAATGAACGCTTTGTTAAAGAATGTAGTGTTCGAGACAAACAAAAATGAACTAAGTCATGTTTAGCAAGGTTGTTAAAATCTCAATTTATATCGTAAAATCGTACGATTTTACGATTCTACGTTAATAAATCGATTCAAATCGCAGGTAAAATCGTAAAATCATAAAATCGTACAAAATCATAAAAAATCATACAAAATCGTGTAGAATCGTTTAAAATCGTAGCAAAATCGTAGCAAAATTCTAATAAGTTTTTTTAGTGAAAATGGTTCAAATTAATTAAAATTAAATACTACAAATTGATACATAATTACAATAGTAATAATATCAATAGTATATCTAAAAAAGTAATGGGTTCTTGTGTTATTTAATTATTTTTATGTTTTACATATGTTTAATGTTATTATTCACTACATTTACATTATTAAAATAGTTTATAAGTCTTATTTTGTACCTTGTAGGTATAGTTTTATATAATGAAATGATATAATACCATTAACTTACAGCTTAATTTTAATATTTATTTATTTTATAATTATTAAGATATGTTTGATAAAATCTTACGATTTGTGATTTGATTTTACGATTTGATTTTCAAAAACATCTGCCGATTCGAAAATACGATTTTAACGACCTTGATGTTTAGTTGGTAAGAGAGAGAAATGAGCAAAGTACACCATGAGGTCTATTTTCACATTTTGACTTTTGAGACCTCGTTGTCACCCCCTCTCAATCTCTTAGTTGATCATTGTTTTAAATTTTCACACGGGTGTCTTTTGCATTGGAGCATCAAAAGGATGAACCCTCCTCAATTTATTTATTTGGCCCACATAATCAATGGATCGTTTTCATTTGTATACACCTAAGCACCAGTACACCACAAGCATTGGAGAATGGAGATGCTCTAACCCACCATTTAAGGACAATTTGGTGGACCGTTTTACACTAAAACGTGTTTTCCTGATTTCCGGTTTGGTTTGAAAACCATTTTGAATGTAATGCGATTTTCAAACATGATATGCATTTTGAGCTTGTTTAGTCACAATAATTTTAGTAAGCCAGTAACATGCTCAAATAAGGAGAACGTTGTCATTGGTGGCATATGGCCCCCATACGGAGTTATTAAAAAGAAGAGTCCTACTAGGGTTGTACGTATGTATGACTCAGGTCAAAAAAAGACATCATTATATATAGGTTAAATTTTCTCTCACAGCCTCACGTCATCTTGCTGGAAAATATATTTCGCACTTGAACGCAAACATGGACGGAGTGGGCATACTTTATGGATGTGGAGATGAAGCAAATACTCCATCGACAATCTTACAAAATAATGAAGGTAGGGTTAAATTTTGAGATAATTTATACAACAATATACAACAATAATATAAATATTTTTTCGTTGATTACAGGGATTATATATGTATGTATGTGTGTATCTATAAAGCTATGCATAAACTTAACACTTTAATATAATAATAATAATAATAATAATAATAGTACGTAACACTTTAATATAATACTACTATGTAACACTTCAATAGAATAATAACTGTAATGCATAGTATTTATTAGCTGTAAAATATTGGTTAGAGGATATGTACTCATATAGCAAGCATCAAAGGAAATTAAATGAAGACTGACATGAATCCACCAACATTAGATTCTTAATTATATGTGTATATGCTTCATTAATAAATTCCGCCATTTAACTTATATTATATATATTTATATAATGTTTTATTTTGAGCTTGTTAACGTCATATCTTTTGTGTTACTTTAAAATCTGTGTACAGATCTTATCTTTGATGCCACACCTAAAATTGGTCACCAGTTTCATTCATTAGATGATGCACAAGCCTTCTATAATGTGTATGCAAAGTTGTTGGGTTTTGGTACTAAAATAAAAAATTCAACAACCAACAAAGTTGGGGTTATAACATGGAGAGCATTTGCATGTTCCAAGGAAGGGAGGACGTATGTTTCTTCACATAAGAAAAACAAAACAACACATGAAAGAAACCGGGGTGAAATTAGGTGTGGATGTCTTGCTAGAATGCATGTTTCCATGAATCATAAAGAAGGTGTGTGGATTGTGTCAGTGTTTGAGAAGATCCATAATCATGACCTACTTAGTCCTAGTAAGATACATTTGATCCGTTCGCATCGAAAAGTGTCATCAAAAAGAGCATTGATCAATGAGTGGGAGATGCTAATATTGAGACACATACACAAATTAGGTTGTTGGAGAATGAAGTCGGATGTCTCTCTTTTATGGGGTGCACAGAGACTCATTTATATAATTATAATGCATCATTGAAATCCAAATTCGATGGGATTGATGTGAAAACAATGATCCATGGATTCCAGACTGAAAAACAAAGGAATGGTGACTTCTTTTACAAATTTGACATAGATAACGAAAAAATGCTTATGAGATGCATTTGGGCCGATAGTGATAGTAGAAATTCATACTTGTTTTTTGGTGAACTAGTTGTATTTGACACTACATTTAATACCAACAAATATGGTTTTTACCTTGCTCCAATTGTCAGTGTTAGGTTGTTTTTACTTGGACTGTAATTCGTCCCAGACCAGATCAGACCAGACCAAACCAAAACAGACTAAAACAGACCAGATCAGACCAGACCAGACCAGACCATATTTTATTATTAATATTATTGTTATTATTATTGTTGTTATTGTTAATATTATTGTTATTATTATTATTATTATTATTATTATTATTGTTGTTGTTGTTTTTATTATTATTGTTATTATTATTATTGTTATTATTATTATTATTATTATTATTATTATTATTAGTAGTAGTAGTAGTAGTAGTAGTAGTACTACTACTACTACTACTATTACTATTATTACTATTATTACTATTATTACTACTACTACTACTACTACTACTATTATTATTATTATTATTATTATTAGTAGTAGTAGTAGTAGTAGTATTGTTATTGTTGTTATTATTAATAATACTTGTACTATTTTATTATTGTTATGTATTTGTATGATCTGCTTCGGTCCGGGATTGAAATCAATCCAATTAAAACGATAACAATTTTCGATAATTTGGAAGGAATGTTATTATTTTTAATTATAAATGAATAAAATATAATTATTTATGGATTATAATATATATAAAACATAAAATCTTTATGCAAAAAATATAAAAAATAAAATTTCAGACCAGACCAGGCCAAAACAGACCAGACCAGACAAGACCAGACCAGACTAAAACAGACCAGACCAGACCAGCAAATTACAGTCCAAGTAAAAACATCCTTAATCATCACCGTCAAACTACAGTTTTCGGTTGCGGTTTGTTGAGAGACCAATCGGCAAAATCTTTTTGTTGGCTTCTTTCCACTTTTCTAGAAGAGATGGTTGACATTATAATGGGCTCAGAGACGACAAGTGACTTTGAGCAGCGGTGGAGCGAAAAACTTTTGTTACCAAAGTTGATTGAAAACGAATGGCTCACTGATATATATGAAGCTCGAGAAAAATGGGTTCCATCTTTTGTGAAACATATTTTTTGTGCTGGAAAGCTGAGTAGTTAGCGTGTTGAAAGCACACATGCTATTTTCAAAAAATATGTGAACAAAAAATGCACGATGAGCCAATGTGTAACACGAATTACTTGTGCAATTGTGCGTCAAAGGGCATCGTGAACTAATTGCTGATCATTGAGATCGGAATGAATTTCCATGGTTAAACTCAAGTTATGTAATGGAAAGACAGATGGTAAAAATATACACAAAGGCAATTTTTTGTAAGTTTCAGAAAGAGTTGGATGCATGTGCTGTATAAACCTGCCACCAGATTTCCAACTCAGCAAATACTAAGGCGTCTGATGTGAAACGATGCGAAATTGATTCAAGTCCTACATCTACAAAGAGGTTCCTTACGTATGATATGATTTCAGATTTTGTGTCATGTAGCTGTCAAAAAATGGAGTTTATGGGAATTCCTTGCCGACACATTCTGATATGGATGAGGCTGGAACAAGTTTTGCTATTGCCAAGTCGCTATATACTTAATTGTTGGACAAAGAATGCAAATACGAACCCTCTTTATCGACCCACTAGCGATTCATTTGTTGGGAAAAAACTGTGGGCGAGACTAGTACAACTAAGGTTGTTTGCATTCCAGGTTGTCGATTCAGCCTCCCTAATTGGGGAGAGAAGCACCTATTTGGCCGAGATTTTGCAGAATGCTATGAAACACCTATCACAAATGGATGATGGGGGAGTTGATAAAGAACAACAATCTAAATTGTCCACTCAGTTACCAAATATTCCTGTGAGAGATCCACAAACGAAAAAAGTTAAAGGTTCACGATCACGCCTTAAACATCCATCCGAAAAGGCTAAATGTCACACCCCGGACCGCATTTGTGCCACGTAGACAACCGCCTTACAACCCAATAAGAACAACAACAGTTCATTCCTATTGAATTATACAAGGTGTCCGATAGATTCTATTGCCAAACCGATTAGTAAACATATACCATCAACATCAATATCGTAATCAAACAAATGCGGAAAATATAATATGTTTGATAATTAGCCACACGTGGCAAACACAAGCACGCAGGCTCCCAACTATTTTTGAAGAAAAACATTGTTCAAATATCCATGAGCAATCACTTAGTTTCAATAAGGATGGAAGCACGAACCACGTCTTCCTTATTTGATGATCACCCTAGGCAAAGGTGCACGAATATGACTCTAGCCTTAACCTGAAAAATGTGAGGCCCCCGAAGGGGTCAGTACTCCATAGAAAGTACTAGTGACAAGCAGGCTATATGAGGAATAACTAATGTTTCAGACAAGAGACCCAAAAATAGGGTGATACATATATATAGTTGTAACTCATATACCCGATGGTACATACTGTATATATATGTGTAAACTACTTAACCCGTAGGTTATTTACCTTAAAGAGTCTTTTAGAGACAAGGTACTTACCCAACCTTTCCCATTCATTTCTGAATGCCTAGCTCACAAGCTACGTTCTACATTCATAATATCCTACCGAGTTTCAGGATCATTTACCGTCCCGGGGATACTCAACCCCAACCGAGATTTAGGATCATTTACCGTCCCGGGGATGCTCAACCCCAACCGAGTTTCAGGATCATTTACCATCCCGGGGATGCTCAACCCCAACCGAGTTTCAGGATCATTTACCGTCCCGGGGATACTCAACCCCAACCGAGTTTCAAGATTATTTACCGTCCCGAGGATACTCAACCCCAACCTTATTCCTTACCAAACCCTAACCTGGATATGGCTAACCTTTCATTAATTTAACTATGGACAATACCTAGCTCTATAGTCATATTGTCATCCTTAACAATCAACGTGGATGTTTCTCACCCGAACGCCCCACGTTATACTCATTCAAAACTGACTGTTTGGGCGTAAGACCCAATACCCGGTCGAGTACCTACCTATACCCAGTCGGGTATAGGAGCCAGCGGCCCCTGGGGCAAATTTTCAATACATACCCAATCGAGTACCTACCTATACCCGATCGGGTAAAGGGGGCAGCGACCCCTGGGGCAGTTTTCAGTACATACCCGGTCGGGTAATTGCCAATACCCGGTCGGGTACAACAGTTGATTTGGCGGTCAACGCCCATTTGACCGCCCAAACGAAGTCCGGTTAGCGTGAAATTTTACATGCATGTACTCTTTGACGTCCTTAATCCAATAATACCCATTTGGGTCTTTGGGACATCATACATATCAATTTATGATAATTTCACTAATCAAACCTACAAATCATGCTTTCCAACTATGTTACATTCTTTAACACAACATAACACATACTTTAATACTATTAACCAATCCATAAAACATATTCTTGATTAATTTAGGTAATCTCATGCCTCACACAAAAGTTATAAATCATAAAGCCGTCGTCTCACCTTAATGATGCTTATGAAGTTCTAGCCTTCCCGGTTTAGCTCCGGCGAAACTCCGGCGAACTCCGGCGACGATTACGGTACCCCTTTCAACTCCGTGAAAGTTCCTTGAATACCTTAGGCAAGTTACTAACAAGGTTTTATCATCACAAAACCCATATTAATACAAATAACCTTTAAAAGGTTATTTTCCGACGAACCGGTCACTTTGGATTCTAAGTCCGTTCTTGGACTTAGAACCACCTTCCAACCCCTCATTCTACACTTCTAAACATGTAGAACAATCCTAGGGGTCCTTCATATGCTATGTAAGTCATATGATAGGTTAGAATTAGAGGAAAAGTTATTATAAGGTTATTACCTTAATCCTTCTCACTTTTCCTATTCTTTTTCCTCTTTAATCTTCTCTTTTGGACCACCTTGGCTTGAGCTCGAATTGCAGCAATGGAGATGGAGATTTTCAAAGCTTCTCTATCAAAAAATGGAGTGGTTGGTCGAGCATATGGGTTGTGGGGGTGAGGGAGATAGCCTTTTTGGCTTATTCCCAATGATATGGGGGAGGATCCCCTTTGCTTTCACACATTGTCTCCCAATCAATCTCCAGCCCTCTCCCAGCTCCATGATGCGGCTCCCCTCTCCATTTGCAAGCCTAAAAACGTGGGTTGGCCCCCACTTATGTGGGAGGTCAACCCTTTTGTGTCTTGGTGTATACATTCGGCCCCGAAAGGTTTATTTTCCGCACTGTTTTAATTATATTTTATTTTATTTTATCGGGTCAAATAAAATATAACACATGTTCTCCATCACTATTGGACTTTATAATGAATATACATTCCTCAACTTTAATTTAGAAGTCTCCGAAATTCCTTTTCGGACTGTTATCTGATAAATTGTTGATACTGATAATCGGACCTTGTTTGACCAACCGGTCAACCCTATGCCTTTCCCATGGTCCGATTAGGATATCCATCACCATATACATATTATCTAGGCCCAGATGAATATAATATGTGGTTCCGATAATATCGCCCCCCCCCCCCACTTCCGGCGTGGGCCCACGTGAATTCTATTATTCACGTAAAAGAGCTGATAAAAATTTACAATCACGTAAAATGTGTTTATTCATTTCTTAGGGTTCAATGCATAATTTGATAGAGTACAAATACTTGGGGGCGGTGTTACAAGTTCTACCCCCCTTATTTTGGATTTCGTCCCCGAAATCCACGTGTCTAGTCAAACAGTAATGGATATTGTTCCCTCATCAGGGTCTCCACTTCCCAAGTTTGCTCCTCGACGCGATCACTCTTCCAAAGTACTTTTACCATCGGCACCTCTTTGCTCCTTAGCTTCTTTACCTGTCGGTCTATGATCTTTACCGGCTACACCGTATAGTGTAGGTCTTCTCGGATTTCTACCGGTGGTTTCTCAATGATATGTGATGGGTCCCGTACATACTTCTTGAGCATAGAAACATGAAATACATTATGAATCTTTTCCAACTCTGGGGTCAACTGGAGTCTGTATGCTATGGCCCCAATCCTTTCAATGATTTTGAATGGGCCTATGTAACGTGGGTTAAGCTTACCCCGACTGAGGAATCTGATGATCCCTTTCCAAGGTGACACCCTTAGAAATACCTCATCGCCGACCTCAAATTCCAACGTCCTCCGACGTTTATCTGCATAG